CCCCCCACACACACACACATTGGAGAGAGTGGACTACCTTGTAGGGGTTTAGCCTACACCAAACAGAGTCACAGTTTGGTTCCATGGATTAGTGTTGGAATTTTCTTACAACTGTGAGTTAGGCATCCATTTTCAACCCTTTCATTGAATCAATGGCAAGCTGTCTGCCAAAGATTGGAGGCAGCCTCAGGTCTTACAAGTATTCCCTGGAACATTCATGAGCTGCAGGGTTAGTAGTTGGGGTGCTGAACCCATGCTTCCTCTGGGACTTGCTGGGATCCTTGTCAGTAGGTTGCAGATACATACTTAGCTTCCATGTGCATCTTCAATCCCTGGAGGAAAGATATAAGGAAATTCTGATGCACTGATCCTGTGCTATAAAGAAAGGTACAGATGACTTTCTCTCTTAATCCAGAAATTACTGGTTTTGCATTTGGACAGAAGTGAGGGACTACCATTTCTTCGTGAGACCCGAAACAAAGCAGGGCAGCCCATTTCTAAGAGTCCTTATTTAAAATTGAGTTGATTGCAGTAGGGAAATCTTTTCACTTCTGGCATTTGTGTCGACCTGAAGACAAACTCGGGCGTCACTTCAGCTTCCTTCAGTAATATTTTCTTTCATTGACCCCTCTCCAGGACACAGCCATTTCTGGCATCTCCCATCTCCCTTTGTGGACATGGAGGCAGAGGACTTGTTTAACTTTCAGCCGTGTTTACTAATGCTTCTGACGGCAAATGGCCCTCGCCTTTTCTTCTTGGACGGTAGCCTCTCTTGCCAACGTTTTGCTTTGTATGTATTGGAAATGGTTCTTATTTTGCTAAAGCCCCTGGGTCATCTTTCTCCACCTTTGTTTATCTTGTCATCTGGCTTTTCGGTGCTTAACTCGTTCCTAGAATCAGTCTGCCTGTGATGCCTTAGCTTTGATTCTTGCTTTCTCCATTTTGAGGTTTTAAAATTGCATTTCGTTTTTTAAAGTAGTTGCAAAGATTTTAATTTTTTTACCCTGATCTAATCGTGCCTCTCTGAATGTCATAATTCTTCAATCAGGCAGGCAAGTGTCCCAATAACCTCATCTCCCAGATCACAATGGTGAGGGTCTCCTTTTCTCTTCGATGCGTGCAGCTCCCTTTATTGCTAATGAAAGGTCTTCATGTGCATTAAGGGGAAACTAGACCTCTAATGAGATACAGAGAGGAATTGCAGCTGGTGATTTCCTCTTCAAGCCCACTGTACTATAACAGAAACGCACGCTCAGGAGACAGTGGACCAAAGAAGTACAAAATGCATGTGCTGCTTACGTAAAATATCCCGTCTGGTCTTAATGGATGGGTGCTATTGTTTTGGCTTGTAGTTTCTTATGTTCTATATCTACTGAGGGGGACCCCTATTATGGAGGTGAAAGACCCTGATACTTGGAGTAGAAAGGGAATAGACTAATTATATTGTGTTTGAAACAGCTTTTAACACATTAATATGTTATCTTACAGTTCATGAAGCACTTGCTTGTGTGCTTTCTCATTTGGAATGGGGAAGGGGGCACACATGTTGTGAAGCCAACGAGCTTGGTGCTGAGAATGCTAAAGGAAGGGAACTTATGCTCAGGGTGGTGAAATCAAACTTCAAAAATGTGATTGACTAAAGCTAATACTCCTAGGAGGCAGGACCAGGACGAGCTCAGGTCTTGGGTTCTCTGACCAGGATGTGGCACAACCTCCCTTCTCAACACAAGTCTAGGACAGTATGTGTTTGTTTCAAGATATCTTCCTATTTGTGTGATATGTGATGAGCCACTCTCTTCCCTCCCCTCACCTATTTCTGGGAACTGTTTCACCCCTAATTCACCCTGTCCCCTAAATGCATAGGATCCCAGTGGTGAGTTCCCAGTGTCCACGTTTATCGTTGGACCATGGTGGACATCTCACCCAAACAGCCCTTTTCTGATGAACAAGAATTGAGATTAAGGGATTCTAGTGTCCATATGGGCTCATCTCCTGAGAATATCTACCCTCATGTTAACCCCTTTGTAACACAGGGCTGAGAAGCCCAGAAGGACACAGAGGAAGGGGCAGAGAGAGACAATGTGAGAGAATGCTCCTGGGTTCCTAACACTTGTGTATTCTGTCTCCAGTCCCTTTCTGAGGCATGTTTGTATTCCTGCCTTTGGGTCTCACAAAAACAACTTTGAGTTGGTTTGTGTTGCTTTCACCCTAAAAAATAGAGTCCAACTGACGTATATGCTAAGGTTTATTTGCTATGAGGCCTCAGTAGATTTGAGAAGGTGCAGCCTTAGGAGGCGATGTGAGAATAAAAGTTACATTGCAATTGTGTTAATGGAATTTTCAAGTAGAAGGGGGCCTCCTATCCTGATCCTCTGGCCACCGTCAGCATGCCCATTCACAGGTATAGAAACAGGCACTGAGAGCTTCAAATACTGTTTCCAAAATAGCCTAGATTGTCTTCTTTTGTATTACTTTGTCTCAGAATTTCTTTTATATTTTTAAATTTTATTTTTCAATTACAGTTTACATTCAATATTATTTTGCATTAGTTTCAGGTGTATAGTCAGTGTTTAAGTCTTAAAGAGTTGGAAGGTTGCCCCTTACCTGCTGAGCCTTTCTGTTTGTGAGGTGCCCACTGCTCACGGATGCGCTGTGGAGGGAAGGCGTGTTCCCTATGGCATTTGGAGCAAGAGGTTTCACACTCTCAACAAGGAACAAGGAGCTAGAGGCCAATGAAAAACCCCTCGCGTCTCCCCGTCACCCCGACTGCTCCAGCTGGGCAGTGGATGTAAGAGGTGAGCTTTTGCTGCTCTGCTGGAGGTTGGTGGTGCAAACAGGTGGCAGGTTGTTCTAAATTTGGTCTGAGATGAAAACATTTCAAGCAAACAAAATTAAACGATTCTTTTGACAGTGACGTTATTTCTTTAGAGATGCAGATGCCAGTTTTATGAAAGTACAAATCAGCATTGGAAAAAGAATACTTGAGGAGGTGTGTGTGTGTCAGAGCTCCTCCTGACAAAACACTTTGGAAAACTCATCTGCCTCTGCCTCCTGAACTTGCAGTGAGACAGTGTGTGGAGTCCATCCCCTCCCTCTTGCCAGCTTACAGAAGACGGGGAGCTGTAGCCATTTGTTAGGAACAAAGCCATTGCATTTGCGATGTTTATGCCATTCTGTTCATGCTCTGTGAATTCACAAATGCACAGGAGTGCAGAAATCATCTGGGGTAGGAGAGGGAGAACAGGAAGTTGTTGATTTTGCATTTTGACGAATCTCAGATGACAATCTCCCGTCTTGTATCATCGAACTGCAGCAATTGTTGAGTGCTCTGCGGAAGGTGGTTACAGGCTGCTAGGAAATCCTCCAGGGACTCTGGATACGTGTTAGCAGTAAACCATGGCTCTCGATTTAAAGCACCTTGTGATGCTCTTATGTACTAACTAGATTGTCTCTAGGAAGAAAAGTCAACCAGCCATCCAAGAAGAGGGGCATTTCTCCTTAAAAAGAATTGAGTGTTGCTTACTCTGTCCTTTCAGCATTTCTGAATCTCTCTGTGTCGAACTTGGTGAGTGGGCTTTAGCTGCACATGGAACATCACGGTGGAATTAAAGTGGAATCACAGACCCTTTCAAAATGGTGATCCTCGTGGGTTTTCCTGTGCTCTGTTAACATTAGAGCACCTCCTGGTGGTTACTTAGCAGACAAACACTGGGAATGAGAGGGCAGTAAGTCCTGACCCTCCAGGGGCTTCCCTGAGGGTGTGGTTCTCTAAGTGACCCCTGGAGGAGCATCCCTGTGAGCATATCAGAAATGCAGAT